AACTCTTGCAAGTCACTCTGGATTCTCGATTATTTCATTTTCTGATATTAGACTTTTATTTTTTCCTCGATGTGGGAGTTAGAACTAATTCCTGTTTAATTATTGCTGGAATTTCAATAAACTGCACCAGTTTATCTCACTTATGACCGTAAATATGAGAACAATGCACGTATTTGATATATAGTACTGAACAGTCTAATAATAAGTAATGAAAATAATAAATTTACAATCTATCACAAGAAACAAAACCGCAATGAATCAGTACAGGGAATATAATCCTTCATATATATGTCACTAACAAGTTCTCAGTTTTTTCAGTTTGTTGAATTGCAACCTGATTATATAAGAGCGAGTCCATCCTAGGACTCTTTTAGAGTCGAAACAATTATGAAGTATTCGGCTTATGCAATTCTTACACTTTCGGACATAATCTCCAAAGCCTCTCGAGCTTTCCCAAGTATATTAAAAACAGTTGCCGCGATATGAGATGGCGTCAGCCCTGCTTCCATCAGTTGGTCAGCTGGGGATCCATGATCAATGTACCGATCTGGAAGAACCAGCGGCCTCCACTGCAGAAGTTGGAATCGTGTGAAGTGAGTATTTAAGCTGATTCTATGCATAGCTTATTATGTAAACACAATATTCAAGTATATCCTCGATGGTCTAAAACATCTGCTTTTTGAAGGCGAAAATCTAATTTCAATTCATACCTTCAAATTGCCATCAAGAAGCCCATCTAGGGCCATGAACTGAGCTACATGAGATCCAAAACCGCCAATTGACCCTTCCTCCACAGTGATCAAGATCTCGTGTGATTTTGCCAAGCTGCGTATAAGAGAGTGATCTAGTGGCTTGCAGAAGCGTGCATCTGCAACAGTTAACCGTAAACCACGGGGTTCTACTAAGGCGGCGGCAGCCAAACAGCTTTGAACGGCTGATCCATATGCCAAAAGAGCCACTCTCTCTCCCTCAATCAATATCCGGCCCCTTCCAACCTGTGATAGAATTTTCGAAGAATTATGTTGTATACCAATTCTTAATATACTTACACAAAGTTCACTGTCATTTAAAAAGCAAGTAGATATTATGCATTAAAAATTAACCCCTAACTTCAAGACCAATTACAAACGCATAAAAAGAAAAAGAAAAAACGAACAACAGATGAATTATACCTCGAGAGGTATGCCTTTGTTTCCTGGGGGCAGCTCTACGCCCACCCCGTTTCCTCTGGGATAGCGGAAACAGCTTGGTCTATCATCAATAGCAGCTGCAGTTGCAACCATGTGAAATAGCTCAGCCTCATCAGAAGGAGCCATCACTACCATGTTAGGAAGGCATGCCATAAAAGTAACATCAAATGCCCCACAATGTGTAGGACCGTCTGCTCCAACTAAGCCAGCTCTATCCATAGCAAACCTCACAGGTAGCTTCTGCAAATCCACATCATGCACTACCTGGGTATGAAAGGAAAACTCGTCTGTTAAAAATTCTGTAGGCTATAAAATAACGATCACTGAAAAAACAGAAATGCAGATTAGCTTGCCTGGTCATAAGCCCTTTGCATGAAGGATGAGTAGATTGCACAAAAAGGTTTAATGCCTTCACAGGCCAAGCCTGCAGCAAAAGTTACGGCATGCTGTTCGGCTATCCCGACATCAAAACACCTCGTTGGGAAGCGACGCAAGAAAAGGTTCAAACCTGTCCCACCTCCCATTGCTGCGTGGATTGCAACAATATCCTTGTCTGCTTCCGCTTCTGCTATCAAAGCCTCTGCAAAGTAGGTTGTATATGACTGAGTAGGAGCACTTGATTTAAATTGTTTTCCAGTTGCCGGATCAAACTTAGCCACACCTGCAAATAGTAAAACAGACAATCACTAAATGCCATGAGAAAAATAATAGTCAAGACAAAACTCATCCTCAGCAATTATTCTGTTTTGACTTTTAATAACATCCCAATTTATGTATGTATGCATAGGCAACCTGATACAAGCATACATGTATCTAATTTTCTGATAACATTTTGCAACCAATACAGCATTACTTTACCGTGGTACTTGTCTGCAGCTTTCTCAGCATATGGATAGCCTCTGCCTTTCTCGGTGACTACGTGGATTAACACTGGACCTGTTGTTTTAGTACTCTTAACTTCTTTAAGAATAGCAATTAGATCATCAATACTATGGCCATCAACAGGACCAATGTAGTAAAGTCCCAACTCTTCAAATAGTGTAGATCCAGAACCGCCGATCAACCCACGAGCATATTCATCAACTTTCGCTGCAAGCTCATGCATGGGTCCACCTATTTGTTTAGTTACTCCCTGCAAAAAGTGAAACCAAAATTTTAAAAAAAATAAAATAAAAAATCATATAATATAAGTTTTTTTTTTTTTTTTTATCTTTTCTTATTCGCCCCTCATTATATAACCTTGGCAACTTCTCTTAATTCTCTAAGTGGCCTGTTGGACTGCAACCTGCTCAGCGCACTACTTAAAGCTCCAACGGGAGGAATAGGGCCATCTAGATTAGCAGTGGGTAACGAGACTTGCTTGTTGTCATTAAGTATAACAATCATGTCAGAGTCGAGGTATCCAGCATTGTTCATTGCTTCATAAGCCTGACCTGCTGTCATAGCACCATCTCCTATTACGGCAACTACATTGTTGTTTCTTCCTTTTAGATCCCTTCCCACAGCCATTCCTGCAGAGCCAAGAAATCTAACAGATCAAAACCTAGAAAAGAAACAAATTCCAGGTTCTTTGATAGAATTAGCATCTCAACAACAAGGTGTGAACATTTTAAATGATGATAAAAGGACATGCGAAGATATATCACACACACACACACCCCATTCATATGTCGTGTTTGCACTGAAATATGCATCTAGAAGATGCTACTTTCCCTAAATTATTATGAATTAAACGGGTCATTATTAACAAATAGCACCATTGACTCGAAGAAACTGGAAGAAAATCCTAATCAAACTACTACATTGCAATATGAAATCTAGCCTATGGATTCCTATTTTATTGTGGATTTCAATGTTCACTTGGGAGGAATAAGAGATTACCTAGGCCTGCTGAGATAGTTGTCGAACTGTGGCCAGTACCAAAGCAATCATAATCACTCTCCGAGCGCTTAGTAAAACCTGCCAGACCATTTGTCTGTCTCAATGTATGCATCTTGTCTCTTCTTCCGGTCAAAATTTTATGTGGATATGACTGCAGCAAACGGAAAAGAATCACATAAAGATAATCATCTTTGAATCCTGACTTGACTAGTTTACTAAATGAACTGTAAGAAAATAAGATTATCACCTGGTGCCCAACATCCCAAAGTATTCTATCTCGAGGAGCATTGAATACATAATGAAGAGCCACAGTGAGCTCAATAACACCAAGACTCGAACCAAGATGACCCCCAGTCTTTGAAACATTGAATATAACATCAGACCGCAATTCATCTGTAAGTTGTTTCAGTTCCTGGACCAAAGATAAGCATTAATCTCAGTCGAATATATTAGAAAGATTTGTTTACAGTCCAACAACACTATAATAAACAGTTATATGAAATTGTTTGATACACTTTCTTATGTTCATTTTTATACCTTAGTAGAGAGATTTTTCATGTGAATAGGATAGTTGATGGTGTCCAAAAGAGGAGTCGGAGGCCTCTGTGAATGATACTCCCCTCTCTCAGATAAGGATGCACAAACCCCTGCTGCCCTCTTCCTTACCTTCAATACCAAAATAGTACAAGAAAACCATTTCAAGTTTATTAAACTGACAGATGAAACAAAATCTTTCAAAGTAATACCCAAAATCACTTTGAATACAAACTCATATACGGACACTCAGAGTCAAACGGGCTCCTTGCTAAAAGATAATCTTGAATATAGACATAGTAAACTAAGGATGTGTTTGGTACACATAATACTAGACATAATTAGATAATACGATTTTAGCTTCTTTTACCATTTTTTATAATATCCAGTACTTATCCAATTCATGATAACAAGCATGTCATAAATGAAAAGGACAATGAACATGAGAAAGGAAAGTTCATTATCCAGGAACAACAACATGGGTTCTATCGAAACCATATTTTTAAGTTGTTCAACTCATAATTGGAAGATTAAACAGATCAACCCATTATAAAAAGATTAAACAAATTACAAACCCGATGATTCTTGAAATAAAATTTACTCTGCAGATCAGTTTCATGGAGCCACTGAGAGCATAAAGTTGTGTGCCTTTGAGGTTCTGCACCCACTGCCTTGCTCAAATTCCCAGGAAATGCAAATGTACAGAGAGCCATCAAACTAATATTTCTTTATATACAGTATTAACAACAAATAGCAACTAAACTTCAAAAACCCAAATCAAGATTACAACTTCTTTACAAAAAGATCCCAAATTTACACTGCCTTCATATATATAAAAGAAAAGGCTTCTTGGATTTTGTTGAGGCTTTGGCGTCTGGCTTGAACTTCCAACAAACAGTTGGCAGACAAAGAAAGTGTGTGTCTACGTGAAACTCACAAAAAACAAGACTTCAAAATTTTGATAATTCAAGAATTTTTAGGGGGCCAAAATTTTGGTAGGTGATTTTCTTTCCCTTCGTACAAAGGATGGATTATGCTTTTCGCTTGAATATTTATAACCTGGCTTGAATCAGTGTAAGAGAATGACAATGGTGGAGGCGTGATTTGATTGGGCCACGTTGCAAGAAATCACAAATGGATAGAGAGATGATAATGTATATTCTCTATCGGGGAAGACAGATGCACTGCACGTTACACTGTGGAATAATGTTACGAAGTTGCACTGAAGTTACAACTACAATTTAGATGACTTTGGTTAAATGAAAAGTGAAATGAAATGATTTATTTAACTTCACTTATCATTTAATCTCACATTATCGACACCTAAAAGTGAAATTAAATGATTTATTCTCAGTGGGGTTACGTAGCATTCCTTATCCTTTGTGTTCTAATAAGTGGAAATTTTGATAAAAGTCCTCAAACTTTAGTAAATGTTACACTATATCCCCCAAGTTATTATTTATTGCATTCATGTCTTCAATCTTTTGAAACAGTTGTACACATGCTCCTAGCTAACAGAAAACGTTGATTTGAACATGAAATGGCTACATGACGCTCTGTGGCGTCGAGAATGGTTGAAGTAGGGGATAGATTTCATGAATATTGAGGATTTTATATTCTGATTTTTAATTGAAAGTTGAAGTCATTGTTTTATTATTCTAGAACAAATGAAATCTTTTTACACAGTTTTACATTTACATTCAGATATAATAGGAGTGGGCACGTGAACATTACACGTTTATAAGCGTTGATCGTTATTTGGGGACATGAGTCTCACAATTTTAAATGTTAAAGAAATTATACCAACAAATAAGTTGGTTTAGAGACACGTGCCACATTAGTGAAAAGTTATGGACCATAGTGAAATCGATTATATTTTTGAGTAAGCAAAAGATTACTTTGATTATATATATATATATATATATGCCACATTAGTGAAAAGTTATGGACCATAGTGAAATCGATTATATTTTTGAGTAAGCAAAAGATTACTTTGATTATATATATATATATATAT